AGGCATCATGAAACAAATGGAGCCAACCCAAAGCAGCTAAAGAAGGACGATGTCTCCTTTGTGCCAGGTCACTTGCAGCAGAGAAAACTGTCGCAAAGAGGGATCTATCTGTTATGGATATATTATTCATCGTGTTTTATGAAGAGAGAACTCATATTTGGAGATTGTATGTGATCATTAACCAATGCCAAAGTTTAACATAAATGCCAGGCAGTATTAACACAAGAGTAGGTATAGGACATTTTTAAGTTCAGCTCCCGATTTTGATTGCAGGTTTAGTAATTCTCCCCTTTGGCTGTCTCTTTGTCTTTCCCGTTCCTTTAATCTGAACTTAAAACTTAGTCATTGTGTTACATGTGAAGAAAAAGTGTGATGTAGGCACTACAGCAAATAAGAAATTCTAAATAGCTGTTCTTTTCTTCATGCTGAAAATAGAGAAAGGTACCCGGAAAACCCTGTACTTTTTGAAGCATGCATGTTTTCTTCTTGCACTTTGGAAGACATTGCTCCTTCAATTGGAGGCAGACGTTACAATGGATAATGGATAATAAACAGGATTCACGTTCTTGGCACTCAGTCAATTAAAAGAAATACCAATTGCATTCTGCGAATATTCCCATGGTGCCAAACCACCAGAGGAGTTGGTGAGTAGGAGGAGTGAAGGTGTGATAATTGAAAGAATTGCTACTTGATAAGTCACAGGAGCTAATGTGTTAGCTCAGCATGCGGGGAAGCTAGGACGTTCCCAGCTGCCGCAAAAACTGGGTGTATGCGATCCCTGGCACCACTCGTTGGGACAAGATGAATCGCAAGCGCTTCGGTAGTGAGCTACCATGTCACAGGGAGCCAGATGGAGGTGGTTTCTTCCCTGATTGATTGCCTCTTGGGCTACCAAGGGCTTTTCCAGCAGTCTAATGCCTTTCTGTTGGCACTCAAGCGCCTGGGAGCAGTGTGTCCGCTTGGGTCAGCACCGTGCCGGAATTCCTGCCTTTCGGCTGCATGGCCACCCCACAGTGGGAGAGGGAAGTAAATAAGGAGCAAGGGGGAGCGGGTGACTACAATGTGCACCGACTTCCGATGCCTCCCTAATAGACGCGTCTGCTAATGAATTTTCAGACACGTGCTGAGTTAACGGGGGTGAGCAACATCGAAACATCCTTTAGTTAAACCCAGTGCTTTACAAAGGCTAATTGAAAAAGGAAAGAGCAGCAGGGGTGGGGGTGGGGGGGAGAA